TTCCTATACTTTCCATACAAAGGTCTTGTTATCACTTCAGGAATCTCACAGAACAATTTTACTCTAAATGACTGAAGACTGTGCTTATGCCCACTCAACCCCAAGTCCCAGATCTAGTCCTCATTTTGAGCTCCTCCTCAATCCTGGACACTATGGGGGGAGGGAGGCAGATAAGCGTATGAAGGGAACAGAAGAGGATCAATGGTACCAGTTAACAGGTGCTTACAGTTGTACACAGGGGAGAGCAACCAAACCCACCAGAATCCTATTTGCTAGAAAAATTACTTTTGGAAAATCATCCAAGAGCACCCGAGTTAGATCTAGGTAAGATGGGTGCACATTAAAGCCTTGTCCCCCAATGAGTGACTGCTATGAATCTCTTGGAAAAATGACCTATCCATCATTATGGTGGTGGACCCCTGTAGACTTGGTATCCTGTTAGAGCTTCAGATCTTCCTTTGATCATGCAAACCCCACATGGACAGATTACTTATTTTCTGCCAGTTTTTCCTCCTGGAGACCCCATGACCTTTATCCCCCAGCCCATACAAGGCAATGTGGACATAATGGGCAAGACATGGTGTTTCTGATGGTTCTAAAGACTCAGTGGTGTTCTCTGGCTACCAATAGTCATTCACTCATTCACAGAGTCAACAATCATTTATTGTGGGCCAAGCTCTGGGACTATGAAGGGGGACAACTCAGGTAGTTTCCTACTCTCATAGAGAACACTAATAATTGGCATACTCATTACTGGTAAAGGGGTTTCACCTTGGCCCTAAGACAGCAGAATAGGTAGCTCAGCCTTCAACAGAGCTCCCCAGAGAGCGTCTTCTGTGCTCTGATGTATGTCATGGATCGCCATCCTCCAGACAACGATCCACTCCCACACAGCTTGGGCTCCCCCACCTTCCACACTCCATCCCACCTCCCTCATCTGGATAAGCCTCTTACCGACAGCCTCTTCTCAATCCCCTAAACGCCCACCTTCTGAAACTCCCACCTTTGTTCCCTCCCAGTCCCCTGACCTGGGCCTTTTTATTGCCCAGAACTGCTTCTCCTCTAAGACCTTAATCACCCCTCTCCAAATCTCCTGTACCTACGCATCCAATGAACTCACTAATGCTTGCCATCTTTGACCTTCCTCAGTGACATCCCCTTTCTCACAGGTCATTTCTGTTTTCACTTTTCCTTAGCCAATTTCCTGGGCTCCTCTATGTCTTGCAGGCCCCTTAGTTTGCTCTCTTGGCCTGAACCCCAGCTTGATCACCTCTCCGCATGCTTTCCTTACGAGCCTCCAAGTCTGGATCTGTGAGGCCCACATCTCTTCCTGACCTTCTGACTGCAACTGGAGAGGGTGTCATGGCCAGGCACATGGTGTCCCTCACACAGGTGGGTTTCCAGCCCCCCCCCCGAGTACAGTCACACTGCTCACCCTTACCTAGGTCACTTTCCTCTCCATGATGGTTCCACCTTTCACCACCCTTCAGAGACCCCTGTCCAATCCAGCCTCCCTGGCTCCCCAGAAGCAAGGTATCCCCTGTGACACCCCCCAGACACTGTGCCTATGACATACAGTCCCCTACTTTCCACCTGCAGTTGCTGACATTTACCTGTATTTTCACCCTCTGGCACATTTTGCCCTCCCAGAAACCTGAGAATTACCTGAAACCACTAAGTACCCTCATGTTCACACCCAAAGAGCAAAGTCTTCTTATGGATTCTACCATTAACTAGGTCTGGCAGCCCTCCCCTCCCTCAATATCCCTCACCTGCTCCCCTGGACCGGTGTCTCTTTGCGAGCCTCCCTGGGGCCAGACTTCCCAGCTCCCCTCCATGCTGCAGTCAGAATTCGAGCTCCACATGGGTCACATCCCACCGAGGCTCCCTGTGCCTTTGGGATAATGCCCTCTCCTATCCTCTCTTCATGTTCCTGACTCTGCTGATAAAATATTGTATTGGTGAGAAAGCTTTCATCTTTATTTTTTCTTCCTTTTCTTTCATCCAGTTTCCACATGAGGGGGAGACATAGATCTGAACACGGAGGCCTGAGCTCCCTGCTGTCTGGTGGGCCATGGGCCACAGAAAGTCCTTTCTCCTCCAAGTGCAAACTCAGTAAGGCAAGTCTGCTTCCTGTAGCCGAAGGTAAATGTACAGGATCTGGGATCTCAGTTGCAATCTAATCAAGATTCATCGACAGGAAAACTGATTTTTGAGCCTTTTTTGCATTCTGAGTCTGTTACAGCATCATTTCAGAATTTGGAGAGTGAGGGTGTGAGGAATTAGAATTTACAAACCCATTTGTAATAGACCCTCCACTATGTGTACATTTATTTATTTATTTATTTATTTATTTATTTATTTATTTATTTATTTATTTATGTTCAGTTAGCCACTGTATAGTACATCATTAGTTTTTGATGTACTGTTCAATGATTCATTACTTGAATATAACACCCAGTGCTCATCACAGCATGGGCCCTCCTTAATACCCATCACCCTGTTACCCCATCCCCTCCTTCCCTCTGAAACCCTCAGTTTGTTTCCCAGGGTCTATGGTCTTTCATGGTTCATCCCCCTCTCTGATTTCTCCCTCTTCAGATTTCCCTCCCTTCCCCCATGGTCTTCTGTGCTATTGCTTATGTTCCACATATGAATGAAACCATATGATAATTGCCTTTCTCTGCTTGACTTACTTCACTTAGGATAATCCCCTCCAGTTCCATCCATGTCGATGCAAATGGTGGGTATTCATCCTTTCTGAGGGCTAAATAATATTCCATTTCATATATGTATCACATCTTCTTTATCCATTCATCTGTTGAAATGCACCTCAGCTCCTTCCACAGTTTGGTTATTGTGGACATTGTTGTTATGAACATTGGGGTGCACGTGCCCCTTCTCTTCACTACATCTGTATCTTTGGGGTAAATACATTGCCTGACTTCAAGCTATATCACAAAGCTGTGATCACCAAGACAGCATGGTATTGGCACAAAAACAGACACATAGACCAATGGAACAGAATAGAGACCCCAGAAATAGACCCTCAACTCTATGGTCAACTAATCTTAGACAGATGAGGAAAAAATACCCAATGGAAAAAAGACAGTCTCTCCAGTAAGTGGTGCTGGGAAAATTGGACAGCTACATATATAAGAATAAAACTAGACCATTCTCTGACACCATACACAAAGATAAACTCTAAATGGATGAAAGACCTCCATGTGAGACAAGAATCCATCAAAATCCTACAGGAGAACATAGTAACCTCTTAGACATCAGCCACAGCAACTTCTTTCAAGACACGTCTCCAAAGGCAAGGGAAACAAAAGCGAAAATGAACTTTTGGGACTTCATCAAGATAAAAAGCTTCTGCACAGCAAAGGAAACAGTCAACAAAACTAAGATGCAACCCACGGAATGGGAGAAGATATTTGCAAATGACATTACAGATAAAGCGCTGATACCAAAGATCTATAAAGAACTTCTCATACTCAACACTCAAAAGACAAATAATCAAGTCAAAAAATGGGCAGAAGGCATGAACAAACACTTCTCCAAAGAAGACATATAGATGGCCAATAGACACATGAAAAAATGCTCAACATCACTAGCCATCAGGGAAATACACATCAAAACTGCAATGAGGTACCACATTACACCAGTTAGAATGGCAAAAATTAACAAGTCAGGAAGCAACAAATGTTGGCGAAGATGTGGAGAAAGGTGAACCCTCTTACATTGTTGGTGGGAATGCAAGCTGGTACAGCCACTCTGGAAAAGAGTATGGAGGTTCCTCAAGATGTTAAAAATAGAGCTACCCTATGACCCAGCAATTGCATTACTAGGTATGTGTACTTTTAGACACCAGTATCCTTGACACCTGACCACAAAGCAGGGTGAGACCCAGCCCTTCCAGTCCAGCCTTCATCTGTGACACTGTTTTATTCATCTGTACACTCAGAGCAAAGCCTTTCCTGCTCTGATTCTCCAGGCCACTCACCCTTCACCTCCAGCTCAAGTGTCATCACTTCTGTAAATTCCCTGATTAGCCCCAAGTAGAAGTGACCATTTCCTCCACTGTGTTCCCAAAGTGTCGTATACTTTCCTCTCTCACAGCTGCCTCCACACGTTGTCACAGCCACCGGACCATATCGCACGGAGCGCCAAACCCCTCCATTCATTAGTGTGTTCCCTGAACCCATCATATTCCCCTGGCACTCAGACTGCTCAGAACTCTTCCCTAAAACAATAATAAGTAGGTGAAGAAATACAGGACTAAACAGGGAGATCTGAAATGAACCTATCTTTGTGCCGAGTGACCTGAATATTACAGAGAAGTGAAAATGTGTAGTCGTGGAGGGAAAGCCACCTTGTGGGGAGCAGTAGGAGCATTGTTAGCAGATATAGTTGAATGCTCCCATAGTCTAGTGTTGAATAGCTCTTGACGCACAGTGGTGCTTAATAGCAAGGCAAGGGGCTGGGAAGACTGGGGGTCTTGCTGCTCAACCACTGTCCATCAGATTCTGGTCTAAACGATGACTTGATTTCATTACCACAGGGAACTCTTTTCACTCAGCTTCCAAAGATGGGCATAAGCCAGGACAAGGACAGGAGAGGGGCAGATCCATGGGTTAAGCCCTCCGCTTTGTGCTGGAAAAGCTGGTTTGAAGGAAAAGCCAGCCCTAGATGCAGAGATTGACACCTTGACTCTGAATTATGGTGCCTCAAAAGGCAACTCCAGATGTATTCTATAGTCTCTGGCTCCTCTATTCTCGAGGTGGATGGAGCTGGGACACAGAACCAGGTCAGGACAGCTCGGGTTTTTTTGTAGTTTCCTTTCTTTTTCTGTGTTCTTCTGCCAGTTCTGGCCACCTCCCTTCCTCTGGAGATATGCCGAGCTCAGCAAGCCCAGCTCCATCAGCTCTGCCCCCTGTGCCCATTGGCTTCTGGTCATCTGGTCATCTGATAAGACTTAATGCTTCTGCTGCAGACAGGACCTGCCTCACTCTGTCCTGCTGGTACACTTGGCAGCCAGGCTGACTACTGCTGCTCCAGGGCCTCCTCCCAGCCTCAGATTTCAGCTCAGCACCTCCAGCAGCCTGGCTCATGGCTCTGCTATTCTCCTTGATCCTCGGTGAGTATCCCTGCCCCTGCTGACTGAGGCTTCAGCGTCTCCCCAGAACTTTGATCAGGGAGAGTGCTCTCTCCTCCCAGCCAGTGAAGATCCTGCTGTTTTTTAAGGAGCAGCTTCACCTGCTCTCCTGCCTTCTCTGTGTCTAAACTCAAGCCACTGAATCCATACCCAATTTATAATCTATTTGATCACCAGGGTTTTTTCTGTTTCCCTTTATTTGCACTGACAAATTTATAATAGTGTATACCATTTCCCTTTTTGTGTAAATTTCCCTAAATGTATTCTTTATAAAAAGACAAATGAACCATGGGTAACAGCAGGTAGAGCAAGAAAAGGAAGAGAACCGGAAGACAGACAGCTTTCACAGGTCATACACTCCAGTTTCCTCTCAAAGGTGTTGCATATAATGTTTCCCTAGGGTCCCCGTTTCTTACCATCCAGAATAATTTACTGTAAATGGGGATTTTGGAGTCAAAGCGACCTGAGTTTCAATCCTTGTTCTTAGATTTCTTAGCTGTCTGAATTGTTAAATTACCCTCTCTCTCTGGAATCCCACTTTCATCTGTGAAATGAAGGTAATAGTATGTTCTTTGGAGGTTTGTTAGGAGACTTTTCATGAGATAATGAACTTGGGGCACCTAACAAGGCCTAGTAGGTCTCTTCCCTAATCAGTCACAACCATTTTATTGTGTCGAGGATCCCATGCCTCACCAAAGCTCACACTGGCACTTAGTGTGCTCTCTGTAGGGTGCTGGCTGAATTCCTAAACACCAGTACATTTCCTGTATCACCTGCCAGCAAGTCCAGCCCCATCAGGAGTGTCCTATCACCTCTTCTCTGCTTTCCTTCAGCCCCACCTCCTTCATGAAACCTCTCTGGTTTGACTACCCATAGTCACCTACCCTGCTCCAGAACTTTCAAGTCCCTCTTGGGCTCTATGGTGTTCATCCCTGCATACCAGGCTCGACACACTCAGTTTGCATTCTGTATATACAGGCTTTGTGCTCTTTACTAGATGTGTGGGGTGTTGTGTGTAATATTACTTCGAGGTTTAGACAGTTACAGACAAGGTCTCACTGAGTCTGAGATTGGCTATATCCTGGAGAATAAGGGCATTGCATTATTTAGAAATTATTTGGAAATGAAAAGAAGAAAATATTCCAGAATAAGCCACTAAAATTCTTGGATCTGCCTGAAAGACTCTAGACCACAGACATTAGCTCCTTCAGAAATATTGCATAAGATGTGGGGGTGGGGCATGACTGTTCTGCAGTTCAGAATGCCTAGGGCCTTGGGGACCACTGATGGGCACAGGGCGGCATTAGAAGGGAGCCTAATGCACAGAGGAGCCCGATCACCCAGAGGTCCTATAGGGAGAAACTATGATGTCCTATGACGTGCTGACCCTTAAGCCTGGGGTTTGGAACCAAATGTAAGGCTGCTTTCTGACCTGTTGATCAGGGGTCAGCAAACTACAGCCCACAAGCTAACAGTGGTTTTTACATTTTTAAACAATGGGGGAAAATCAAAAGAAGAATACTATTTTGTGACACGGAAATCTAAATTTCAGTGTCTATAAAAAAAAGTTTATTGTAGCATGGCCGTGCTCATTCATACTCATATCCACACGTGGCTGTTCTTATGCTACAGTGACAGAGCTGAGTGGTGGTAACAGAGACCAGAGGCTACAAAGCCCAGATTACTTGTGCTCTGGCCCTTTACAGGAAAAGTGTCCTGGCCGTGGCCTGAGCGCAGTGCCAGTGACACAGACAAATCCTGCCCTTTCCCTTCTCTGTGCTGCCCCCATGGCATTTCTGTCTTCTGCACCAGAGCCCTTCCCAGCGGCCTTCGGCATGCCTTGCTGTGGAGCCCAGAGGCTGCACACCTCCCGTCCACTTCAGGCAGTAATCAGTCGATATAACTGGCTAGAATAGAAAGTGAATCTATCCACGCTGGCGGCAGAGCAACATCTCGTGTACAGGGAACATGTCGAGCTGTGGTAGAATTGGTCTTTGTGGTTCCCAGTCACTGTCCATGTGTCCTTCCGGCCTGGTCATTGCAGGACAAGGTTTCCTTGGGCCTGACCCAGCACTCTAGCTGCCCCACAAAGTCTGGCAAAGATTTTCTAGAGAGTTGTGTTGTTTGAACAAAGCCTTGGGATTGACAACATGATCTCACTCACTTCCTTCTTCTCTCCTCAGCCATTTGCACCGGACCTGGTCTCTTAGGTAAGATTTTTGGGGTCCTGAGAGGGAGGCCTCCAAGCCCCTGAGATGAAAAAGCTTGATGCTTCCTTGGGGCATGGGGAGAGGCTCTAGTTCAGTAGAACCTAGGTAAATTTCCTCTCCAGTTTCTCAGTCCAACCACTCTGTCCTGTGTGGGTGGGTTTCCACCTCCGGAACACGGTAGGGATTTGGGTGGTGTTTCCAGCAAGGAGATTCCCTCCCACTTGGCCTCTGTGGCCTAAAACTCCCGGCCACCTCCAAGTAGCAGATGGCTTTGTTTGGGGACTCAAAAGGTATCCCACCCCCTTGTCGGCATATCTGGGAGAGGAACTTCCTTTTGCCCTGCTGGGCTCTACCACTTCCCAGCCCCTGTGCCAACCTGCATGGCTCCTTTGAACTAGAAATGCATTTACTTGTGTGCAGTGTGTGGTTTGACCAGCAGTGGGCAGGCTGGATTTCAGCCTCCCCTGGCCACCTGTATGGACCATGCACAAGCGACCCAGAGAATAGGTCTGTCAAGAGGAAGGCTGTGATCTCCAGACTCAAGGGGGTTGGTCGTGGACCCTCAGCTTCTTATACATCATCCCATGAGTCTTTTTCTCTTGATGGTAGAGGCTTTACCAGAGAGGGACAGCCACAGACTCTGCAGTGGCCACGATGGACTCCACACCAGCAGGATGTAATTCAATTCTTTCAGCATTGCCGTTTCAGATTCTCGGTCTAAAAATTAGACTACATGGTCTTTTTCCTGTGGTGTACAGGGGTGTCCTCACTGCTGGTACAGGGACCTTGGCTCTACAGCTTTCCCACAGCCCAGGTCACTGCTTCTCCACCCCCAGCCTTGCTCTCGTGCTGTCAGCCAACAAAGTAGGCTGAGGGCACTGTCCGGGAGGCAGCTGCCCCGGTGGCCCCTCTGCCCTTCTCTCTGGCTTTCAAATCTCTTCTCAGCTGCATTTCCTTGACACTTAGGCTGTTTCTTTCTTACATGTTTCTTCTTTCCTGGAAGGGGTTCTAATTCTCCTTTTCATGGAAAATAAAACTCGTTTAAAGCCAGAATTTTACAATTTTACAATTCGAAATCAGATAACATGTGCATGTAGATAGCTAGTGCTTCCTGGAGTACACAATAATTCAAATCTTGCAATGACCCAACTGCTATTTCTCGGTGACTCTTCTTGAGTTATATTTATACCCTGTAAATGTAGGTGTGCAAAAATGAAAACTTTTCTTAGTTTTTTAAGTTAAATTTTAAAATCTATTTCTAGCCTCCATTCCTCATATTGCTTCCCTCAAAAAACACATGGAACAAAAGGAGGCACAAAAACAAATGAACAAACCAAATGTCAACTTCCAGTGCACTCTAAAATCAACCAGCTCAGTGTTTCTCACTCAGCAACTTCTTCTGGGGTTGATTCCAGGTTCTAGGGAGTTTTTGCAGAGCTGAGGCAAGGTAGATGGTGGAAGATCTGGTCCTCCAAAGTCATATTCCATTCATGCATGTGCCTGAGTCACCCACATGTCCCATGTGGTCATAGGTGACACTGCTCGTAATGGGGTAGGCCACAGACCAGCAGTCACGTGTGACCCCTCCACGTGCCCCAGACCTGTCTCGGTCAACTACCCCACTCCATGGAGGCATGGCCCATTCATCTCTTCTCTATCACGCTGTCATTCAAAGGCTGCACACGTAGCTAACTAGCTCTTCACCCTTTGTATCTCACCCTTCCAGGCTGCTGGAGTCTTTGTGGGGTTGCCCCAGACCTCTTAAATAGCATCTCCTGGAGGGCAGCAATGCTCTGAGTTCATAAACCAGTACCTGGAACATAGTATATGCTCAACAAAAGTGTGTTGCCTGATAGGCTCTTCTTTGCTCTCCCACAGCCATCGCCACTCTATGTCTTGTCTCAGTGGAAGAAGGAGAGAATTTCCATTAGCCTTTTCCACCCTCAGAGTTATTGTGGGAAAGCAGAATCATGTACTGGACTCCTCAGAACATATCTGGAGGCTCTGGGGAGATTGTCTCCTACCCCAAGCCCTAGAACCCTCTAGACTAAGATTCTGACTGGTCAAGGCTCTGACACTTCCTTCACCCACTGCTGTCTGCATTCCTCTGAGCTGGGTTCTTGAGCACAGGAAGATGTCATGAGAAGCAGCAAGGATGGGTAGTGGGGGATCACGGATATTGGGAGAGAGAGTCAGGCTGTTCAGCCCAAGGTATATCTATACAGCCAGCCTCCATCCGGCTGCCACTGGGGGAGGCAGAGTCAAGAAATGACAACACAACAGAGCACATCTCTACACCTGTATTCTGACCTGGGGCTTCCACTGTTTAGCGGTGTGAGCATATATACATAGGTGTCTTGAAGCGGAGTTTCTTGGCAGGGTAGGTTAAGAGTGGAGCAGAATCAGAACTTAGGGATGGGGTCCTGAAGCTCCTCTCCCTCTACTTCCCTCATAAGCCCTCCATCTCAGCCCCCAATATCCCACACCCTCTGGAAGTGTTGGGAGAGTTCTGAGATGCCTGAGTTCTCTCTCATCCTCCAGATGCCCGTCCAAGCTCCCATCCCTTTGGAAGGTCTCCGTCCAGTGTGCGGCTGGTGGGAGGTGCCCACCACTGTGAAGGGCGGGTGGAGGTACAGCAGGCCGGCGAGTGGGGCACCGTGTGTGATGACGGCTGGGATAAGAACGATGCAGCCGTGGTGTGCCGGGAGCTGGGCTGTGGAGCCGTCAAGAGGGCAATCAGTGGTACTGTATATGGGCCACTGACACAAGGAAATCAAAAAATCTTCATCCAAGAATTCAAATGCAATGGCATGGAAGAGAGCCTGTCTCAGTGTGAAAGGGAAGATTTTTTTGACTGCACTCACGAGGAGGATGCAGGAGCTGTATGTGAGTGTAAGTACCGTAGCCCCACACCCTGTGCCACCAGACCCGTGGACCAGAGTCACCTGTCTTAACCCCCACCGTGGACTTGACACATAGTAGCTAGCTCCTCACCCTTCGTATCTCACCCTTTTCAACTGTGGGCCCAGCAGAGGAACATTATCCTCACTTAGTATTATTCCTGCTCTTTGGATGAGGTAAAGCATTTAGCTTAGTTTCAACCTACATGAGAGCCTGCTTCTCTCCTGCACGCGCGCGCACACACACACACACACACACACACACACACACACACAAGTACGCCCAGATCCATCCACCACTAAGTGTTGGTTGAAGAGTATAACCTGTGTCTGGAGCTTGGGGGAGGTATGGGGAAGAAAAGAGCTGGCAAGGTATGATGTATGTTTCCTGGTTTTCGCCCCTAAGAAAACCAAGTACAGTGCATGCTCTTCCAGCTCTCAAGTGTTCCACCAATGAGAGTAGACAAGAGATGCTCTTAGGAAACCAACACAACACTTTGCCTTCTGTGCATTAATAATCCCCTCTCTGCATGCACCTCCCATTGGACTGTGATTTGCCTGAGAGGCTCGTCCATGTCTTCTCTTTGTCACCCTGCAGACTGTTACCAGGGAAACAACTAATAAATCCTTGTGCCTGATGCTGAGATCTCATTCCTACTTCTTAGAGAGATTGAAGGTTGGGAGCACTAATTCATGATACTTGGGGGATAATGCTGATAATGAACCAGGAAGTTTTGGGGCTTGGACACATTGTGTATGTTACTATTGCATTTTATTTTTTAAAAAATCTATGCAATCCCTCTACTTGCCTCTTATGAGGAAGAAGTGAGAATATGAATATGAAAATAATTCAAAAAACTAAAAATGTTATGGAAATAGTTAATTTACTTGGAATTGAAAAATGACATTCATTTCATTGATTCACTCATCCAACCCATATAACAAGCATCTACTGGACAACCCTAAGCACTCTAGACACATTGTACTAAACACCAAGAACAGAGGGATGTGCCCATGGGGCTCTATTCTGGGAAGACCACGTTCTTGCTGGAACAGACACCTCCTCTTTCCTTTCCCACAGTCCCAGAGAATGTGCGGCTGGTTGATGGCCCTAAGCGCTGCCAGGGCCGAGTAGAGGTGAAGCACCAAGGGCAGTGGGGCACCGTGTGCAAAGCAGGCTGGAGCTTCGCAGCTGCCAAAGTGGTTTGCCGGCAGCTGGAATGTGGACGGGCCATACTGACCCGGAAATGCTGCAACAAAGCCACCCAGGGCCAAGGGCTCATCTGGCTGAGAAAGGCATCATGCTCAGGAAAAGAAATCAGCCTTCAGGATTGCCCTTCTGGGGTTTGGGAAAGGAACAACTGCACCCATGATGAGGACGTGTGGGTGGAATGTGAAGGTAAAGCCCATGAGTCCAGAAACTAGATTCATTCATTAATTTGGTTAAACTGGATTCCATTTAACCAATGTCTACAGACAGCAAGTCAGACATCAAGTGACAGTGACAGAGTCAGTTATTCATCAATTCTTGTTATTTATTTATTTATTTATTTATTTATTTGAGAGAGAGAGAGAGAGAGAGCGAGAGAGGGAAAGCATAGTGGGGGGAAGGGGAGAGAGAATCCCAAGGAGACTGCAGTCCGATCATGGAGCCCAGTGCGGGTCTCTATCTTACGACCCTGAGATCATGACCCCAAACAAAATCAAGAGTTGGGCACTTAACTGACTGAGCTATCCAGGTGCCCCTCTTGTTTTTTTCAAACGCTGACATCAATGCCTCCCTCTGTACAGGAAAATGGTTTCAGTGATAAGTAAGTGCTAGATTATTGTGAACTGTTAATATATTGAATTCTACATAATGTAGACAGAGCACGCCACTCCATGTATTGTTGAGCTCTTTAATTAAAAAAAACTATTGGGAAATCACTTATTAATATTAGATTTTTATAAATTAGACAGAGAAGTGGAAAATCCTAGTTAAGGAAGGGACCTGGACTACACAGTCAGGCAGAGAGAAGGGGGTGTAGGCACAGAAACTCAGTGGATGGTCTCACGTGCTGATGGGATTTGAGTGTAGAGGAACTTCTCTGTCAGTCCCCCTGCCTCCCTCCACCCTCACTCCCTCCTGCACCTGCAGATCCCTTTGAACTGCAGCTGGTAGGAGGAGACAGCCGCTGCGCCGGGAGGCTGGAGGTGTTGCACAAGGGCGAGTGGGGCACTGTCTGTGACGATGGCTGGGGAGAAGAAGCCGACCAGGTGGTATGCAGGCAGCTGGGCTGCGGGGAGTCCCTCTCTCCATCTGCCAAATTCCGGAGAAGATTTGGCCCTGGGGTTGGCCACATCTGGCTGGATGACGTTGCTTGCTCAGGGGAGGAGAGGTCCCTGGAGCAGTGCGCGCACAGGTTTTGGGGCCAACACAATTGCAAACATGCAGAGGACGTGGCTGTGGTCTGTGCAGGTAAGTCCTGGGGCAGAGTTCGTGGGGACATCACGGGGGGAGGGGATGGACAGGGGTTCCCACCAGCGTGGTCTCCTATTTTACACTTACTTCAGGGGATATGGGTGAGGCATTTGAGCAATAAATAGAAATAATGATGATACTAATAATAAACCCCATACTGTAGACTTACTGATGTGAGAGGAAGAGAGGTTTTAAAAATTACTGGATCAACACCTTATATTAAACATAAACAAAGTGAGACTCAGAGAAAATAAACAACTTTCCAAAATCATAAAAATTGCTTTGAAATGATAGAGCAGAACTAAAGTGACTTGTCCTGACTCTGATCTCCGGGGTCATTCTCCCAGCTGACCCCAATCCTCACAAACTAAGTTTAAACTATGGGAGACAGTCCTACCTCATTCTACCTGATGTCACTGCACGGATTTTAGGTGAACCTGTGGGAATCGGGCTGGGGTAGGGGGGCTCTTGGGATGCCCAGGAAGCAGAGTCATTCCAGACAGTGGGGGGACTGTAGGCCTCTTCAGGGAAGGGAAGGAGGAAGCCCTGCCCCAACTTGAGCCAGGAAATGAAAGCTCAGCCCCTGGGGGCTGAAGCCCAGCTTGATAAGCAGGGTGTGAAAGCAGGGCTGCTTGGTTTAACCATGCTGCTGTGGAGCCAGGTGAGGGCTGAGGTTGACTAAGGGCCTGATGACCAGCTAGTACCCAGAAGAGGAGGGATTTAGTCATGGAAGACTACAGGTTGAGCCCTGATCCTGCCATTTTGAGGCTCTGTAATCTTAGTCACTTAACTACTCAGGACCTCATTGTTTTTATCTATAAAATAGAAACGCCCTTGTCCCATTGACCTCAAAGAGTTTCATGATCGTGTGAGGGTGAGATGTGTTCATATACGGGAACGCTGTTTGTGGCAGCTGGCTAAGTAAGCCCCTGGGATGCTGCACCTGACTCTGATTTGACTCACATCTTCGGGGGATGTGTGTCTGATTAGGGTCTGGGAGGGCCTCTCTTTCCTACACTGGGGCCCAAACTTCTTTCTTAGCCTCTTTGAGCTTGAATGAAATAATCCTTTTTGACATGTGCCATCCTTACCGTACATTCTTCTTCTCTTTACAGAAGAGTAGCCTGGCCTACCTGAAGCTCAGCCCAACCCCCACAGGCCCCACGTGTCCCCTACTTCTCATGGACCCTGCCTGGCCTGGCCTGAGCCCTGGGCTACAGGCTGTACCTGCCTCCCGCTCTGCCCCCAGCAGCCATCTGAGCCCTGTGTGCTGCCTTGCTCTACAGCCACACGCTCCTGTCATTGCCTGGGGACACGAGCTGTTGAATGCCCTCTGCTGGGAGAGAGGAGCCCAGAGTCACCCTCTCCTCACTCAGGAGCCCTGGCACCTGTGCCATCTCTTTTCTCCCAGCCTGGGACCCCCAGGCCGGTGCCCTGACCAGTGTGGGCCATGGCTGGGCACCATCTATGTCCGTAGAGAACATAAAAGGAACCAGACCATGACGTGGAACCTGGGGAGGAGTCTTTCAGATCTTTTTCTCATGCTTTAGGTGATCACAACAATTGATAGCACCTCACAGCCCTCCTGCTTCTCGGGGACAGCACATTCTTTCAGGAGCAGGGCAGCGTCCTGTAATTGTAGATGCTTTGATGGTCCTCGGAAGCAATGGTGTGCCCCTCCAATGCCTGCAATAAAAATCCTTTGTTGACCCTCCAACGTGGTTGCCATTTATCAAGAAGAATCTTACAAATGCATTCTAATTGATCTAGGGAAATATGTGTTGGTGATGGGGCTGCCTCTGGAAGGAGGGGAGGCTGAGGCAGAAGGAGGCTGGGGAGGTGGGAGTTGTGCCTCCTGCCAATCAGATGATACCACTTTCACTGTATCCGCTCAGATGCTGGTGCCTGCAAGTCTGAGGCAAGGCACAGTGATGCTAAGGTCAGGACTTAATTCTAAAACTCAGCAGCCTTGCACTCTGAGGCTCAGCTGAGCACCTGCTGTATGCCTGCATTTCCACTGCCTAATAAAGCAGACCCCCCAGTCTCTGCAGCTGCCTCCTGTGCAGTGGGCTTTTCTTGCCACCGGCAAGCAGGTGCGCCTTCCCAGCAATGGCCTTTGGAGCACCGCTGGGCAGAAGAGGACCTGCCAGCAGATAGGACCAGCTGTGTTACAGAGCAGTATCCTCTTGTCTCTTCCCTAGCATGGGAACATAGAGCACCTGGCTCCGTAGTCGAGAAGAGAAGGCCTCACCAAACATTTTGGGATCTACCTTGTTTACTCAAAGATTTTGTCTTTATCTGATCAGCTCTCTTTATCTGATGAGGTCTTCCTGATTTTCCCTACACACTAGTGTTCTGTTCGCTTCACCCCATGGTAGCTGGAACCCCGAGGCCTCTGAGCAGCCTGCACCAAGCCATTGAAAAGCTATTTTATCCTCAGTGGAGCAGACAGGGTTGGAATGTCACAAAAGGAACTTCAAATTCCCTCTAATTTTATATTAAAATTTCATTTATCTCCATTCCGGTAAGTCCCCTGAGAATCAGTCGGATAAAAGTAAGAGTTCTTGGGAGAGACAGGGTGAATCCCACCCGGAAGCAAGAGTTGATAGTAGCCTAAATAGTGAGTGTCACTGAAGGAGAGCAAACCAAGAGGGTGACCCTGGCCTGTTGTGGGGACAGAGGTCATGTCCACAGTGGGCTCGGATGTTACAGTACATCAGAGCCTGAGCAGACTAGCATGTGACCTTGGCTGCCAGCGCTCAGACACTGCTGAGTCTTCCTGGACTCGTCGCTCATCTCTCCCAGGGGCCCCCCAGCCGGGCCCCTGCCAAGAGGCCACTCACCTGCGGCTCTGCATTCAGGGGGAGTACTGCCTGAGTAGGGCAGGGATTCTGAGTCGGTTTACACCTTCTCCCACAAGACACCCTCCTGAGACCCTTGCCAGGGTCCAGATTCTTAGGCACCCTGCACTCCTGGGCCCACACATGCACAGTGTGCACCCCTTCAGCTGGCCTGGGGCAGATGGGGTCCTCTGGGCCCGTGGGGCTAGGGACTGGTTGCAGCCACCTGCAGAGTCTCCAGGACCCAGAGGGCCCCAAAACCCCCTGAGGCAGCAGTGATAGACTTGCCACAATCAGTGCCCACCTGGACTTGCTGCCTGGCAGGGTCCTCGCCAGCACACAGGGCTCCCAGATCTGTCTTAGTGGAAGATGCAGTGGGTAACCCTCGGGCCTGCGCTGACAGGCCACTCACTCTGTCGTCGGTGGAATATTGTCCCCTGGGTAGGTGAGTTAGGGCTTGCAAGATGCATGCGCCTTGTGACCTTGCTTGTCCCGTCTCTTGTCTGGGTCCTGATCACAGCACACATACCTTCACCCAGCCTGGGGCAGCTGGGGCATAGTCCCCAGTAGAAGGGAGCCAGCCCCTGAAGTCTCCCTGAGGCAGCTACAGATTCTCTGCCCTCAGCCCATTGGCACTTGTTGCTTTATCGCCCTGGGCTCCTCCAAGTGGCCAGGGTCCCCAGGTGTCTCTCCTATCCAGATGGGGCCATGTGGCCAGTTCTCAGAACGGACGTGACACCCATCAAGGCCATTGACAGAGCTTGCCTCGCCCATATACTCTCTCTCCCCATCTGCTGGCTTGTCAGGGAAGACCCCAGTGACACAGGGGTGTCCAGAGCCATCCGGATGACCTGGTGGCAAGCTCCTCACCCAGGCTCTGCTGACAGTGAAACAAGTAAGTCCTGTGTCAAGCCAGGGAGATGTTTGGATGGCTTATTAAAGGCACTTAGCTTACTCCGACTAACACAGACATAAACAGTTTTTACAAAATCAATTACATTTCTTCGGAGCCCGCCAACAAAGGCCCGGAGGCATGCTCCACTGCCTTGGAAGCCTCTGCATATCTAGTATTTGGTGCTAATCAGGGGATGTGCCCCCTGGCCCACTCATAATTGTGTTTTTAGTATGAAGTAATCATAGTTTATTTTTGACGGTCTCCTGAGCTTTTTTGTTTTTAAACTGTACCCAACATGTCCATTGCAAACATTGTATGTGTGTGTATTTTCAGACATTTTTTTTTTTTAAGAGCAGTTTTAGGTTCCCAGCAAAATAGAGAGGAAGATACAGAGAGTTCCCATATACCTGCTGCCTCCACACGTGCACAGACCCCCCCCAAATTGTCAACCTTCCTCACTAGGGGTTGCATTTGTTACAATTAAACTGCTTTGACGCGTCATCACCCAAATTCCATAGTTTACACTGGGTTCACTCTTGGTGGTGTTCTATGGGTTTGGGCAAATTTATGAACATGTATCCACCATTATAATGTCACGCAGAGTAAGTTTATCTCCCTAAAACTCCTCTAAAGTTCTCTGTGCTTGCCTATTCAACCCTCCCTCCCCCCTAACTCCTGGCAACCACTGATCCTTTTACTGTCTCCCATAATTTTGCCTTTTCAAGAATGTCATAGAATTGGAATCACACCATACGTAACTTTCTCAGACTGGCTTCTTTCACTTAGAGATATGCATTTAAGTTTCCTCCATGTTTTTTCATGGCTTGATGGCTCATTTCTTTTTGGCACCGAACGATATTCCATTGTCTAGATGGACCACCGTTTATTTATCCATTAACCTACAGAAGGACAACTTGGTTGCTTCCAAGTTTTGAAAACCATGAGTGAAGCTGCTATAAACATCCATGTGCAGACTTTTGTGTGGCTATGTTTTCAACTCCTTTGGGTAAAAACTAAGGAGCATTTTTAAACAACACAGTCCTGTCTTCCTGGCCACAGTTAATTGGTACCACGAGTGGGCGTCTGTCCCAAGCTGGATGGATCAGCCCTTCTGAGGAGATGGGAACTGTGACCGAGAGTATCTGGACTTGTAGCACATCAACCCAGGAACTGTGGGTGGCCGTTTTCCCACATACCAGGTGCATCAGAGAATGAGAAGAAGCCCTTCCACATAGATAAGCTAGAAGGTACAAAAGAGAGAGGAACACAGATGAGAGACAAGGGAGAATCCAGACAGCATCTTCTGGTTCTGGTTCTTGTCTTTTCTGGAGTCCAACTGCATTCCTAATTTTAGGTTCTGTGACAAACTACTGTATACTTATAATATACATTTTATGTGTAGATACATAGATACATATAAAAATATATATGTGTAAATTTTTTCTTCCAAATTTTTATTTAAATTCTAGTTAGTTAACATAAGTGCAATATTGGTTTCAGGAGTAGAATGCCGTGATTCATCACTTACATACAACACCCAGCGCTCATCACAAAAAAGTGCACTCTTTTATACCCCTCCCCCATCTAGCCCATCCCCCACCCACCTCCCTCTGTCAACCCTCAGTTTGTTCTCTGTCATTAGAAGTCTCTTGTGGTTTGCTATATATATTATATATTTAAAATTTTGATTGAATTATCTCATTGGTTTTTGTACTGCAAACCAAAATAACCCTAACCAATTTTCTTGTTTAAAATTAAGAGAGTGACAATTTACTCATCATGTGTGATAAGCCCATTTATTAGTAATGAATCAATTCTCACTGCACTTACAGCATCAAGTTATGGCTCTGAAAAGGCAAGGGCCAGGACCTATAGCCGAGATACCAATACGACAGATGCAGGCGGCCGTACATCCCAGAGTGCTAGTCCTTAGTCCAGCTTGAGGTCATGGCTCTCTTAAATCGTCAGAAGCTGATGCTCCTCCAGCCACGTCCTGTCCAGGCTGCTCTCTCGGCCTCTTTCCAGGGATGTCTGAAGTCAATCTGCTCTTGACTGACTCGGCAGACCCAAGCGACGCTAACATCCCTGCTGGGTTGGTGGACGCTCCGTGCGGACGATGCACAGTGACAGCCTGGAAGGAGGCTTGGTCTTGCTAACCCTGGGAGGAGAGAGGCAAACATCTGTCTCTGAGTGGCCCTTCTGTTGGACTCGGTCTCTGTGAGAAACTCCAGAAGAATTGTGACCTAACACATCTCATCTGTAGTAGTGACAAGACTTATCCCCAGTGGTTATTCCAGAGACACAGGAGGGGACCCCATCATGTCAGAAAAGCAGGAGGGAAAACACTGGAGGCGATCCTTGGTTATCTGAGGAGAGAGAGGGAAAACCTGAAAGCATGAGTGTAGAGGAAGACTTTCTGGTGAAGTCATAAAAAGTCATGGTCCCTGTTTGCTTAGGACAGGACAGTCGATGTCTGCTGAGGACGAGTTAATCTCTGCTAATCGTTTTTAGTGGACACTTGCACTCCCAAAAGTGTCCTGGTTTGGATGATAAAATCCTGTGTTCATTTTAGCTTTGAAGGATGGTTAATACTTGAGAACTGTATTTGACAAGATGGAGATGTATGCAAAGTGGGATGTTATTGCCCACAGCTCAACACTTTCTTCCCCCGAAGAGCAAATACCCAAGGACCCAGCAGGGGGATGAGGTGAGTCTGATTCTGTTTCCCTCCCCTAGGTGTTTCCCCCACTACTTCTTCAGCAGGACCAGCCAGTAACCTGTTCTGAGGGAAGATGACCTGGACCATGGGTATTCTATAGGATGGGCCCACAATTTGATTTGAATTCATGGCAAAGCTCTGAAAGTTGCTCCTGACGCAGGAGCCCAGACCCAGCATGCTCCTTAGAGATGCTGCCATTTCTACTCTTCCCCGAACTCAGGCTTTCCCTCTTAGTGTTTCTTTTCTTCTACTCTAACATGGGG